CACAGACAACCTCTCGTCAATATGCGTTTTTCGCATTGCATTGCTGCAAAAAACGCATAATAAACACAGGGTTTGAAGTGCAGAGGCAGTAAATGACACCGAGGACAGAAAAGAGAGCACCAAATCGATCCATTATAAGCAGCATAGAGTCCTACATAAAAACCTCCAGGCTGGGTGCACAGAACTAATCGTAGTAAAAAAGTATGATTGTACCAACCCAAAGGCTGTGCGTTTTTCCCCAATTAGTGTTTTTCTGGGTGCTACCATTCCTCTCCTCGTTCAGTCCACGCACAACACTGTACCCTCTCATTACCAAAACGAGCTCAATAACTACAGTATTCTCGGAGTGAAGAAGCAGTTCAATCTTTTTGCGTCATATTTTGTCCGAATAAGCACGGGCCATAGAGATGAACTGCAGTCCGACCGACTTATACAAACTCATACAACTATGCATTAAGCGGATCTTTGAAGTCAGTATGCAGCGACGAATCCACAATTTCGAAGAGTGAGCCAAATCGGATCCCAGCATCAAATGCACGGGCAGCCTTGAAAATCTTGGTAATTATTTCTGTACAATAGTTGTGAATAAGCCTAAGAAGTCGGAGCTGATGATGATTTCGTTAAATTTTATCAAACACAGACATCAGCAAAGTGCAAACTTTCATCTTAATATTAGCCACAATAACTATGCCACTTGAACAACAACTCCAACAAGATAAACAGAAACTTCACTTAGTTATAAAACAGCCTCTTCTTCTTCCTCTTCCGGAATTCCCCACAGGAATATGTTCGTTGCAGATGCTGTTAATAACGCAGGCTTTTTCGGGTGTGAGCTTACCGAATGCACAACTGCATTTGGGTGCGCTAACCTGTGCAGAACTTTCATCTGAAATAATTTTCTCCGAAAGTCTTACAAAAGCAAAATGCTCGCACTTGCAGTTAACTTACAAAGTGCGAAAACGGAAGCGTGCCAAATGAAAATGTGGACGACAAGCAAATGTACTGAAATACAAAATAGACTACCTCAATTAGGCTCCATATGTATAGATGTGCATCCTCAGAACCGCTCACAACATGCGCATCCGTTGCAAGAAGACAGCTATCTATTCGGAACTCGCGATTCAGATGGCCCGTGTAACTGAAGATTTACAATTCAAAAAATCCCGTACATATATTTTACTGGCAAGATTTATATTTGTGAAGTCACACACAGCCCGAGAACACTTTCATAAAAATCCCGCTTCCTAATTTCTTCCGTTGCTGAGTTAAAAGTGGATTATAAAAACCGAAGGCACACTCACACACACCCACCCCAACACACACATACATACATACAAATGAAAACATTTCGAAAGATGGTTGGGATGAAGGTGTTGCATTATGGGGCCGCGTGGTCATCATCTAGCGCGCACGATTATCAGTTTTTTGTATGGAGCCCGGTCGTTTTTTCGGTGAATGCTCGTTGATCAAAAAAATGCAACGGAAGCGGACTATAAAATCTACGAAATGCACTCGCTTTTAAGTTTGCGACACAATTGAGTATTTGTCACATCTGCTTGCAAGGAATTTCGCCTCCAAGCTGAAAGTCTACACATAAATATAGAATATCCTTGCTAAGTTTCAGCTTCGTAGCTTGTCTAGTAAGCGAAATAGCCAATTTGCTACAAATGTTTTTCAAGTGCCCTAAGTAATGGCAAAAGCGCAAATCGAAACTCAATTTAGGCATACGGCTTTCCATATCAACAATAAATATTTTGAAGTGACCGTAAACGCTCGAAAATTAGCCAGGAAACACTTTTCAAGCTGACACAGCGCCAACTGTAAAATTTGGCGTGGCCGTTTGCGTAGTGTAAGCGCGTGCGATAATGAATGTCAAACCTTTAGATCATACATGTACAGAGAATATCCCAACTAAGTTACAGCTTTCTATTTTGTTCGGTTTACGAAATCGTTTGCCGCCAAGGAAATTTGCATTTTTTCTGAGGCCTGTAGGCGAGATCTAGGCGGGTGTGAGCAAAATTTTAAAATGGGAGGATGACACATGGGGCGGGAATATGCCTCAAAATCTCCGTCTCCCAGCTTTCCTGGTTGCTGATATGAAAATGGGTGGCAAAGTTCACTCGCTTCCGAACACACACACGAAAGACCTCTTGACAACATGCGTTCTTACTCACTGTGGCGCTACACGACAAAACGCATTAAAAAACGAATAGAAAGAGAATGGCAAGAACCAACTCAGCAAGTAGCTGCCCATTTGTTTTATCAATAAGTCGAACAAAGCCATCTTTTGTGGATGCGAGCAAACACTGACCATCCGCCGAAAAATGAACCGATGTGACACTGTCACCAAGGAAATCTGAACTTCAAGCCATCTGTTATTAAGTACATGTAATACCTGTCAGAATTATCTAGCGAACAGAGAATACCAGTCCAATTTTGACATCGTGCACAATCAAAAGATACAATGGCCTTTCAGAAAAGATGTTGATTTTCAATGTTCGTGATGTGACAGCAACGTTATTACACTCCCAAAATGCACTACGCGGTATGTCTTTTAATCCTGACACTTCACATTTTCAATTAGTTGGCACCTACTGCCCGTTTTTTGTCCATAGCCACATTCTTAGAGGCCACTTAAATCGTCGCTTACTTTTTTAGAGACATACAACGCCGAACGCTTAAGAGCAAGAACAGCTGTGATGAACTAGCCATCCGATTCTTCTTTCTCGCATGGTCGCATGTATGTGGCTGTAATTTTTGGCACCTAAAGTTTTTGATCTAGTACTTTAATCAGCTTTAGCTCGTGCCGTAGTTTTTCACCTATAAAGG